AGTTATATAAGCTCCTGTGATTACATTTTCTATGCTGATTATTAATGCTACTTTATATTTTCAGGATACACGATGCAGTAATCATGGTACATGACTATACCCCATGACTTTTATAGAGCTAATAGTATATTTGTCTTAAGCCTATGACTTTTATATATAATTATAGTATTATAGGTAATTTGTTATACAATACTATATCAAGTATTGCAATATAAACCAGTAGAATAAAGAAAATAATTGGAATAAAAAGGATAATTAGAATAATTAGAATAAAGAGGAATATTGTTTTTTACAAGTTCTTTTTTTTAATAAAATATTTCTAGTTTTGACTTTATAGATAGGTTTTTCTTTGTATTTACTTACAAAAATATAAAAATTTATTTTAAAGAGAAAAAAAAATAAGTAGAAAAAGATTGAAATCTTTGAATAGTAATATTGTAAAAGATGATGTATAGACTTTATTATAAAGAAAATATAAAATTTCTTTGGAATATTTGTTTTTTGAATTGACAAGAGAATTAATAAAAAAAGTTTTCTTATATTTTAATTTTAATTATTTATATATAATTTATCTATTTATATAAAAATAAAAAATAAAAAAGAAATAGTATAATTTAAATTAACTAAAAATTATTTTTATTATATTTAAATAATCATTAAAAAAATTTTTTTATTTATAAAAAATAATAAAATTATTTAAAATATTATTTTAGTTCTATTATAAATAATTATTTAAACTGAAAAATTTTTTACAATAAGTTGAGTTATAATATTTTAAAATAATTATATTGTTTAAAATTATATAGATATTTTAAGAATTCTCAATATATTATTATAAAAATATATATATATATAAATTATAATAAATTATAATAAAATATAATATGATATAATTAAAACTAATAAAATTTTCAATAATTTTAGTAATAATATAAAAATATAATAATAATAATAAGTGTTTAAATACAATTTTATAATTAAATTATTAAATTTAAATCAAAATCAATAAAATTGTAATATATTAATATATTTAAATAGTAATTAATTATCAAACAGTTTTTTAAATTATTATTTAATATTATTAAAAAGGAAATAGTATTTGAAAAATATTGTATATAGTAATATACAATAATAATATTATTTTATTTAATAAGAATTTTAAATAAATAAGAATTTTTAATTTTTTTATATTACATACAGTATATTTTTTAATTTTATATATTTAAAAATTTTTAATTGTTTATTAAACAAATTATATATAAATAAATTAAAATGTTATATAGTTATTATATTAAAAAAAACATATTGTAAATATTCTTATATAAAATTTAAATAATTTAAAATAATTTGTATTAAAAAAAAAATTTTATAAAATTTATTTTGTAATTTTGTAAAATTAATTAAAGTAAAAATATGTAATTATTTTTTAAAAAAATTTTAAAATACTCTGTATATATAAAATAATTTGATTCTATTGAGCATAATGGATCTTAATCCTATTTAATAGGTGAGCAATATATTATTTCTATAAATTATATCCATAAACCTATTGTTATAAATGGATAAACTGGATTGTGAAGGTTTATACATGCAATTTTATTGTAATGATTCAAATAACTTTAACCTGATAAGAGCAAAAAAAATCAAATAAATAACAATTAATTGATTATTTATTTTTTTTAAAAAATCATATATGAACATAATTAAATTAAAAAATTATGTATGGTACATTTATTTAATTTTTTAAAAAACCAACATATTACTTTTTATTAACTAATGTTAGTCTGTATTTAAAAACGACAATAAACATATAATTATTAAGTTATTTTTATTTAATAAATTCTTTTATTTTAATGTTTGATATACAGTACATGTAGTTTAAACGTATGGTTTAATAAACAACCTAAAAAATATTTAAACTGTGATATATCATACAGATTTTAAAATAACTTAAGATCAATGTATGATGGTAGCAAATGACAGACTCTCGTTAAGCTAAGTTACAATACAACGACATATAAAATTTGACTGTTAAATTTTTATTACCTACGAACGGATCAATACAAATTGATACTTTGAGTGTCCTTGTCATTAGTTAACAACCCGTAAAACATGAAAATAACATGATTTATTCATTTTTTCTTTTTTAAGAAAAAAAAAATTAAATAAAAACACATGTAAATGCAAAAGAATAGAGAGAAATTGAATTTCGAAGGGGCATATTCATTTCCTAATGATTTTGAATACTTCGTACTCAGAAATAGCAAACTTCCTATGCTTTGTAATCCAGGTCTCGTAATCATCTTCCTTGCTACTACAACTATCCGTCACAGAAAAATCGCCATACATCCACAGATCTTTATCCCCAAAGCAAGGCCCATAATTTTCGTCTTTCAATAAGATAGCATAGTTGGATCTGGTCACTCTGCTAAGCTTGGCATCCTCCAATCGATTCTTACTTCCAAAAGAAAATAGGAAACTTTCTCTCGTATCTAGGCGTTCATTCCCGATTTTCCACTTTATGGGGTTATACCCACCAATGATCTCTCCAGAATTTGCGATCTTCATTATAACAAAGGTAGGCCCCTGGTCATCACACTTCCGATGAAATGTTTTGGAGTCGAAACCATCTCGTGTGCCCCGAAGAAGTAATCTGAACTTATAAGGGACATCGGCACCACAATACTTAGGGGATTCGTTGCGATCTATCCAATCGGCTATACGCGACATGTGTTGATGACCCATTAACGTAGAGTTCCCTCGCGGGGTGTTTGTACCGAAAGTTGGTTTGCTTCCAAGTTTCAAGTGGCATCTAACAATGTCATCCTCGAGTTCCGGAGGCAATATGGACCGAAATGGCCATACTCTGTCATACAAGTCGCTGCTTGACATTTGGAAGAATCTGATCAGGGGGATACACTCGTGTAATGTGCTTTTCAGATTCGAAAAATCCTCAGATGTCCAAGACGATAGGTCGTAATTTACATCGTTGCTGCAGACGCTACTGATGCTACTCCTGGTACTGTGAAGGTGATTTCTGATTTCCGAATTATCGGTGCCATCCATATCCATATCATCCAGGTTCGAAAAAGACGAGATAATCGAAGCAGAAATGATTGGAGTAATCGACTGATGAAGTAAATTATTCTGAGCGCACCCCCATTTAATAAGGTTATCCCAGACTTCATCTTCCGCCATGTCCAAATCGTCTCTTATCAGTACTGGCAACAACAAGGACTCATCGATCTTCAGGAAATGTTCAGATTTAAAAAGTAAATCGGGATCGGAAGAGATGGCAACCAAAATGAATTCTTGTAGATTTGAACAGGAATCACGAGTCAAACAGACTTGATAGATCTGCAAGATATAGGTGTGAAGCCAATCATTTTTGATCTCTACTAGGTACTCTTGGATGAAATCCAGCAGGTCGGTGAGTAGAAGTTCATCAGCTGCAACGAGAATCTCTAGAATTTCATTTATACTGCGGTCAGATAAGACAATCGCTCCGCTGTAGATATAGCTGCGAGGTGAAACGAATTATACGTGAGGGAGAATGAACGAGAAGAAATCTTCTACAACTATGCCCTATCAAAACCACTCACCCTAGTATAATCTCAAAAATCTCAGGAGCGACATTAGGTTGACTCAAAACATTAAAATCACCTTCTTTCCTAGCCCATTGTTTGGAAAGAGCAGTTTGGAAGTAATTACTTCTCGCTCTCAATATCAACGAGTGGGCCCGGAATGTCCTTACCCCTTCGCTCACAAATTCTTTGTCGAATTCGGTCGATAACGATGGATCTTCCTTTCCAACATGAATTATAACATCACACTCCTCGGTATTGACCAAGAGATTTGCTATGTCTTGGGAGAATGAGGAGAGAAGTTTCGAAGACATTATTGCGTGCGGTGGCTTGATTGATCCTGACAAATACGTGAGGTGGTTGATTATTGTTTTGATCTAAGAATCTGGAAAGATGATCGATGACGATAATGAGATAGCTTGATATACAAAGAGACACCAAATGTATATAGAGGAATGAGAAAAGCAAAAAATGAAAATTTATGAAAAGTTGCTAAAAATATATGGAAATAAGTTTGAGAATATACATATAAACAAAGGCAATAGTGAGAAATATGTGAAGACAGTGTAAATATATATAAGAAAAAGCGAAAATATTTATAAATAATAAGCCAAAAAAAAAAAAGAAATTGATATACAGTATGTACAAGGAAAGTTCAATAAAAAACAAGAACGAATTGAAGGCAGAAAATTCCTTCTATCTGTTCTCTTATAATGTCTTATTTTTTTTTTTTATTTATATTTTTTGTTATGAAATCATGAAAAACAACGCATTCCGTAAACCCAAAAGAAAAAAGAAAAAAAAACGGATAACAGATTCACACCATTCGATTTTTCTGCTAGCAGAACCGAACTATTTATAATTCCTAAATTTCAAAACAAATAATATTGTATACATCACGCATGACCAAACAAATGATGACTAGGACCGACACGTAACCGATGTGTTTCTGATCTATCGTTCACGTGCAAAACAATTTAAGATAAGCTATTTTAATTAATACTTTTTCTGTAGTAATAAAAAGGGTATATGCTGATTGAACCAATAAAGGTCATATTGCTGCACGAATAAATGTAGATGACGTTAACGTTACGAGTATGCGCGTCGCGGTTTCACATCATGCTTTTCCTCGTCTCTAGATATTTCGAGCTAACTTTTTTTTGCGAGAATGCTTTTCACGTGATATAGAGATGTGCTACATACAGTACGTAAATACACATCAGATACGTAATTTTCAAAAATCTTTACAAAAAATGCCGGATACAATCGTCATTCCAGCAGCGAGTGATTTTCATATTCATACGCGTCAGGATGCTTTAATGAAGATGGTAGTTCCTTGCATTGCTAAAGGTGGCGTCTCCCTATGCTATGTGATGGTAAACGAATCGATTAATATTATTCCACCCGTTTGAAGTCGTGGTTGTATAACATTTATTTAGCCAAACCTTAAGCCACCGATCACTAAGACAGAACAAGCACTCGCTTATAAGGCTCAACTCGAAAGTCTAGCTCCGGACGTAACCTTTCTCATGACCTTATATTTAAGTCCAGAGTTAACACCCGAAGAGATTGTAAAAGCAAGCTCTCATGGAGTCGTTGGTACATACTTATCGGATTCGTCTAACGACTGGTAATAACGAATTTACTTGACACCTTCTCTCCGCTTCAAATAAAAGGCGTCAAATCGTATCCAAGAGGGGTAACAACAAATTCAGAATCTGGCATAGAATCATATACGGTTTATTATCCAGTCTTTCGAGCGATGGAAGAAGTCGGAATGACATTGAACCTTCATGGTGAACTTCCAAGCGACGTGGACCAAGTTAGTTTTTTTTCTCACGGTATCGGTGATTTACGAACAAAGAATGTATGGTCACATCCTGCGTTACTAGGATACCTGCGTTATGAATGCCGAGGAAAAATTCCTAGTGCACTTGCGGCAATTGCACCAAGATTTTCCAAAATTGAAAATAGTCTTGGAACACGCCACTACCAAAGCAGCTGTCGAAACGGTAATCCAGTTAATCTTGCCGAATACGGTTTTTTGTCAATCACCTCAATCTAGTTTGTACGTCGATACTACTACAGGTAAAGGCTCTAGGGGATAATGTTGGATGTACCATCACCATACATCACCTTCAACTGGTTGTCGATGATTGGGCAGGGCAATGTCATAATTTTTGCAAACCGGTCGCCAAATTTCCTCATGATCGTCAGGCTTTACGTGATGTCATTCTTGAAGGTATGTTTTTTTCCTTGAGGATTGATTGTGGATGATGTCGTTCGCACCTTTAACACGGAGAACTTGGTAAATCATCCCAGATCACCCACGTTTTTTTCTGGGAACTGATTCGGCGCCGCACCCTTCTCATCTAAAAGAATGCGCTCACGCCTGCGCGGGTGTATTCACAACTCCCTTGGCTATCCCGTACCTCGCCACCATATTGGATTCGTTTGGAGCAATTGATAAGTTGCGTGGTTTTGCATGTGAGAATGGAAAAAGGTTTTATGATATCAAGGAGGATGAAGGGAGAATTCGTGAAATCACCTTGGTCAAACAATCATTGTCTGTCCCAGATGGTTATTCGTTTGGCGATCACCAGGATTTGCGTCAAGGCACGGTTATTCCATTCTGGGCTGGAAAAGATTTAACTTGGAGGATTGTAAATTAACACTCGCCAATATTGTCTAAATATTACTATTTGCATTGGGTGCACAATATATGAATCATACTGTGTCATTTATTATCAAAGTTTGTGCCGGATCAAATCGGGTGCCTATCAGTTGTGTAAAGAATCACTTGATTGATTAAAGATATAAATTTTTCATTTTTTCTTAGCAGATAGTAGAATAGTTACTAATTTTAAAATTAGTTAAAATTAATGTTTATTTGAATATTTTAACTTACAAAATATAGTAAAGTCTAAAAAATTTACCAAAAATTTTTTTGTATAGCTATGTATTAGAATGTTATTCAAATATCAAGTATTAAACTAAATAAGGTCGATTTTTTTCTGGTATAATCAATAATACAAAACAAAAGGATATTTCAAAAATTCTAGAAGATTTCGGAATCTTAATTACATAATAATAAGTATAAAAATATTATAAGAATTATTATAGTACAAGAAAAAAAAAGATAAAGATAAAAAAGATCTTTTTAATTTTTATCATATAAAATAATATAATTAAAAATGTATAATACCATATAATTATGGTGATTAGACTCAACTATCAAAGTAAGAAGACCTTGAAAATTTACTATCATTACATTAACAATCTTTACATAGTAAATTAATTGTAGTCTATTGCAACAAAACTATTGAAATCAGGTACTACTACAGGAGTAGGCTTGCAACAATAGTACTGAATAGCTAATGCCTATTCAGAATGATGATATTACTACTGGGGTGAAAATTGATTTGTCAGTATAGTTGTGTAATGAAATTAATAAGTTTAAAATTGTATTAAATATTGAGTTGTTATTTGCTCCTGTGCTTAATAATTTTGTGATAGGAGTTTTTTTCCACTTTATTCTGAATGCTGGTGATGTAGTTGCTGAGGCAGAGCATGCCTTCCAAGCCTTATATAAAATTTTGAGAATATAATTAGAAATATCTTCTTTTTTCTGGAAGAGATTGAATGAATGGTTAAATTTGTCAATTGCAATTTAATAAGCTGTTGTCTGTTAGCTTGAATATGCCAACAAAATCGATGATTTTGATACTTTTAGGATTAAGTTCTAGAATTAATTTTTTGAGTTTGATTTTCTTTTTGTTAATTAGGAGTTTGTTATGAATGCAAAAGAAAATGTATACTAGGTTCTTGGAATATGCATTGCATCTTGAACACAAGTTGTTAGGGTAAAGGCTAGAGTAGTATTTGTAAAGTTTAGTTTTAATTAGTAGTTGATTTGCAAAAAGTTTTGTTCTGAATGTTGATAGTGCCCTGTATTTTATTTGATCAAGTGATTTGAATTTATTGTTTGCTTTAATGATTGTTACCAGTTCCTCAAAAGACAAGGGTTTATAAGTTACTGATTGACTAAGAAATATATCAAATAAATTGCTATAGTAGTTTATAAATTTAATCCAGTGGGTAATACTTGTAACGTGAATGTTATTGATTAGAGGTGATGATGTAAATGTGGGTGAAAAGCATTAAGAATTGGTAAGTTAATGGTAAGAAGAGTTGCAGGTAGTAGCTAGTGGTCTTTTAATTTGTACCAAGAAGTGTTGATATTTTTTGCTACTATAAGTATATTGCATTCGGTGATAAGTCTGCTGTAGGGAATTTTTACTAGCCTGTTTGAGTACTTAGGAGTCTTCAGATTAAAAATTTTGTTGAGATAAATTTTGAGTATTAAGCAAGTTGAGAGGTCTGTGATTGTTTAAAGGAGTATCGGTCAAAAGATACTTTAGAAGTTAGGATATTGGTTGGTTTGGAAACTAACAAGGTATTGTTAACTTTGTTATAATAAGAAATGTATCAATGGATTGGTCAGATGGAAGTGGTGATGAAATGATTATTTGTGGGTTCATTTGTAGTATACTTGAAAAAGAGTCCAAGAGCTCCTGAATATTGTTGAGAAGATGATTTAAGTTTGTGCATGTGGTATTCCAGATCGACTTGAGATTGCTAATGTTTATTTCTTTAATACATAGTTGTAGTAGACATAAGCAACAAATTATTTTTTTGTTATTCAACTGATAGTGCTAACCCTTAATAGTTGTTGATAGAATAGTATTTGTGCAAACTTTAATAAGATTAATAGAGTTGTTAAGTAGAAAGGCCCAAAACTTAATGTTGGAGCTTTTGGAGAAAAAGATTGAATTGCTCTTAATTGTCGAAGATATAATTGAAATGGAGGAGAACTAAGTGGGGACTGGACCAGAAATAATGTGGCCTCTGTATATATGCATTTTTTCCCATGAGAGCTTCATATTTTACTTGTAGATGTATATATTGTGAATGGCTTTGATATTAGTATAGAATAGAGAGAGAGCAGCAGATTTTTTAAGTCTAGTAATTAATTCTATGGAATGTTTGTGATTGTTTAAATTGAAAGGGCATGAAAATGTGCAAATTTTAATATTGTATCTTCTTGCTAAAATGGCTGTTAAGATGATTTATGACTTTTTAAAATAATAAGAAAAGCAGATTGGGCAACACTAGATTGCTTGTACAACTTGTATTGATATGATTTCTTTTACAGTAAATAAGATAATTTTGTAGTTAGTAAGCTTGATAGTAAGAATTTTGATGACAGTTAGGTCACAGCAATTTTGGAGTTTAACTGTGTTGAGACCAGCATGGGAGTATAGAATTTTGTTGAAATAGTGTGCTTGACCCCTAGTTTTGCTTTGATAAATCTGTTCATTTGTCTTTGAAAAATAGTTATCTTCCTTTCTGATGGGACTGAGGCATTGATTGCATAGTCTAATTGTGCTGATATAATCCAGTAAGAGGCATGTCTAGTTATCATATCATTTCAACCTTTTTGTAATGTAATGACATTAATAAATTTTTGTGTTTTTTCTGAAAACTTGTATATTGTAACAGTGGATAATGATTTTTCTAATAGGTAGATTGTTAAGTATTGAATGTCTTCTTTGTATGATTTGGAGTAAATTTTTACTCTCTCGATAGTAAGGAACTGATTTCTTTTTAAATTTCTTGTTCTAAGATTAATAATTAATTCTGTTTTCTTTTGATTGCATGTAATGGAATTTAAGAGCAAAAAAGAGCAAAAAATATTTGTTGTCTTTTGTAAGGCTTGCATATTTGAGCTAATAAGAGCAATGTTGTTCATATATGTGAAAATTTTGAAGGTTGCTAAGTGTAAGGCTATTCTTGTAACCATGGGGTCATAGAAAATAGTCTACAGTAAGTGAGATAATGTTTTGCCTTGGTCCAGACCTTTGCTGACTGGAAGAGAATTAAAAAGGTTGTAATATATTATTATTTTTAGATCTCTTTCATTTAAAAGATTAAGAAGAAGGGAGTTGGTTTCTATTGGAAGTTTGATTTATTCTAGAGCTTTTTTGAGGCTAGAAAGATTTATGAAGTCGAAGGCTTTGGAAATGTCAAATGATGCAACCCAGATTTCTTTATTCAGATTATTTGCCATATTGATACTTGAGATGATTATTATGATAGGCTCAGTGATGCTCTGGTTTTTCAAACCTGCATAATTGGATTCTGAGATGGCTTTGTGCTCTAGAATCTTGATAGCAAGTTTATTATTGATTATCTTTGTAAAAATTTTTCTACTTGTCTCAATGAGAGAGATTGGACAAGTATCAGTAAGGTTATGTGACCAAACTATCTTTTTTGATAGTAGCATAATCACTGATTGCTTTTAAAATTTAGGAACTTGGCTTGCCAAGAGTGAGCTATTGAACAAAGTTTTTAGATGATTTTTTGCTGTTGTACCAATATGGGACCATGCTTCATAAAGAATAAGAATAAGTCTGGGTGCTTTACATTTGGGCAGGTTGGCAAATGCTTCTTTCATTTTTGAGTCTGAAATTGTTGATGTTAGGTCAAAAAAAGTGTTATTGGGAATGTGATTAAGTGATTTGTAATAAGTATCCCATTCATTATTCAATAAGAAGGGTTTGAGGTCTAAAATTTTCTTGAAGTGGTTAGATATAATAGCTGTAAGCTTGTCTGGATCATCATGAAGTTGGTTGTCATCTTCTATAAGTATTGAAAAGTCAAGTGAGGATTTTAGATTACCTAGTACTTTTTTAAGAGCATTTTTGGATCTGGTCCAAAATCTGTGATAGTTTGACTCTATTCCTTTTTGTATTTCTTGGATGATGATTTCATTGAGTTTAGCTAGTTTTTCTTTGATCAAGATTTTCATCAGTTTTTTGAGATCTTTGGTGTATAGGAGTTTGTTGGTAATTCTTTAAAGAGCTATAGCTGTGACTTTTGAAATTTGGGGAAGAAATTGTTATTGTGGTTGTTTTTGCTTTTGTTAATTGCTTTTTTAAGGCTTCAAGGCTCTAGTATAGTGTTTAAAGGAATCAATATTCTGAGTTGGAGAAGTACATGTTCTTTTGGAAATGTTGTTATCAAGTAAGTTTTTGATGATATTGTTAATAAAATTCCATATTGAGGTACTGATAGTTTGGCAGACCAATTCAATGTCTTTTTAAAAGGCTTTGATATTTTTTGAATTGATCTCTTTAAATTGATATATGCTAGTATTGAAACAGACTTTGCTGGGCTTGTACTCAAACCAGTCCAGAATAGATGTTACTTGTTTATGATCTGAGTTTATGACTATTTGATTGTGAACTTTGTAAGAAAGAATTTTACTTGCTAAATTACTGGTAATCCATATTTGATTAATTCTGGAGATGCTATTGCTGGTGAAATATGTGAATTGGTCTTTTTTGTTTGTACTTTGACTATGTCAATAAATTTGTTAAGATAGCAATAAATATGTCTCTTATGTGTTGATGTTAAGGTATTGATGTGTAGGGCATACAAAAGGTAGGTGTTGAAGTCACCTAAGAGTATTATGTGCTTGCTGGAGTGTTCTTTGATAAAGTTTTTAAGTGATTTGACTGCTGTTTTCCTTGCATCTGGATTATACATGTTGTTGAAATTCATAGATCCTTGACGCAATTGACACAATTATTTGACGCAATTAATTGAG